AGGTGACTCCAGGACACTGCAACCATCATAAATATGAGTCAGTTGGCAAGTGTCTGAATTTTGATCACATGGCCATGAAGACGCAATGGTCATAAATGTGAAAAATATGGTCATGTCACTTTTTTCAGTGCCATTGTAACTTTTAATGATCACTAAATGAACTGTTGAGGACTACCTATCCTGTGATCCTGAGTGCTGTTCTTTACTTCCCATCAGTCTCTTCTATCCCACAGGATGATGTCCTTTCCCTTTTTTTTTTTGCTACTGAACCATCTAGTGCTCCAAGTCTTGCCATTATTTACTGGCCAATCATAGACCAGGAAGGATTCCCTGAAGCCATAGGGTGAAGACATGCTGCACTGTGCAGCAAGTGCAACGCCAAAGATTTAAGAGAAACAAATGTTAATAACTTAATCTTTCAAAAATAAAAGCAATGTTTTTGAAAGTGAGTGTAGAAACATGCATTGCTTATTTTTCTTAAATATCAGAAGTGGGAGAATAATACCTGGATGCTTGTAACAGATTGAAACAAATAGTAGATCTATAATATGTTCAAGAAACTACTAGTATCTCATTTCTTAGTGCAAGAAACATACCTATTCAAAGCAGAAACAATTCAAGTGTAATAAGATTGTAAAATGTTATTTTATATTATTTGTGCTTACATTGGTATTGAACTAGATTTTGATTTCCTTTCAGCCACAACCACCAAACTACCACATTTAAACATCCAGTGACTGGCCAGTTTTCCCCAGAAAACGTGGAGTTTATTTTACAAGAGGAGTAAGTAGATTGATTTTCCTTACACATCTAATAACTATTTTTAACCTTTAATTAGTAGTTGAAATTCTACAAGCTTACTCTATAACTGCCTATTAATGTCTACTGTTGTATCATTCCAATTACTAATGAATGAATGGTGGAACATTTTTTCCTATTGTACTACTCTTTCATCCCAGGCTCCAAAAATAAAAATACTTTCTTCCATTAAAAAACTGAGGCTGAATTACATTTTGTATTGTGACAAGGGGGAATTTACTAGATACGTATGAATAATAACACACATATCATTTAATTAATTGAATGACAATGAACTTCATTTTAGTTTTTGTTCTAGCCCTTTTCATTTCTTTGTCTTGGCAGTCACCCATCATAGTTCTCATCATGCTATTCAAAGGCCCAGTAAACCCCACAGCCTAAAAAAGGTTGTATATTCCTTTTCAAAAACTGCACAAGTTAGCAAGAAAAAAACAAAAGGCAGTCTTCATAATATTGATTTGGGCTAAAGCAAAGATCGAAGAAAAGAAAATGCAACTATTTATGTATTTTCCTCAGATANAAAAAAAAACTTGGCCGAATGGATTCTGAATATGCTCTTGGTGCAAATAACTAAAAATGAAAGAATGCTGGTCATTATTTATACAAAGGTGTTTGCTGTTTGAAGAAAGAAATGTCAAAAGAAAGAAAATTTTCATTCAAACAATTGAACTTGCTTAAAATAGCATGTTAAAACTTGACTTTGGAAAATTGTTATGTGTAATTCAGAACCATTTTATTATTAGAATATTGTTATATAAAGTATCCATTATTAGAATAGAATTAATCTATTCTGAATAACCAACTTATATTACAGTACTTTAAATGGATACAGCACTTTTGCTTTTAAGTATGTCAGTTCAGCATTATCAATCTAGTTTCATATTTCTATGTACATTTTTATAAATCATTCATTTTAGATGGGTATCAAATTTTAGTTAAGAGATAAAAGGGATGTGGAAATATATATAAAACAAACAAGCGGTTTATGTTCACCTAGGAGTTAACCTGTCAAACATGGCTATGCACAGCCAGCTGTAAACCCTTTTCTCTGAATAGTTGTACTCCAGCTGATTAGATCCCAGTCTTCAACAAAGTACAGTTAACCTTGAGCCTTGCATGAATAATTAACCAGGTAGAAAATAAAGAATGCGAAGGCATTTTACTGGGAGAAAAGATCAGCTGATCTCTATAAGCAAGTATGTCTTATTCAAGTGAACTTCAGACAGTTTAAATATTTGTTTGAATTCCGTGATGCAGTATGTGTATGCCTGTGGTATACATGGACGCGGGTGTGGATGTATTTTTCTATAAAGCAGTAGAAGCTGGTGTTCTGTTCCCCACACATCAAGTGCGGTAGCAAAGTAAACTCATTCAGTTAAACATAAATGCAGCAACAGTGGCAACTTGCTGTACATAGCAACTGTCCACTTATCTCGGAAACCTCTCAAAAAATACACACAAAAGCACTAATACACATGCTGTGGCCAGTGATATGCAACAAAGAAAATGTGATTGTGAAGTGGAACTGCAACAATTTTTAAAGAATTGAATGGTGACAGACCTTCTGTAAGGTTTCAGGATGAACCTAAGAGCAGCGAGTATCTGTAGCTCAGGATTGAATTGCAGAGTTCTTGATACTTTTTGAGCTTGGTTGCTTGATTGTAGATATTTCATTACCCAACTAGTTAATATCATCAGTGCTTGAAACATCTGCAAACAAACAGCCAAGCTCAGAGAACAGCAAAAATTCCACACTGCAGGACCTGCAATAACCTACCAAACCTATTATGTTATTTATTGTACGCAACAATTAGGAAAATGAGTCCAAATCCAAGATGACCCCTCTTTGCAGATGGTTAAACAAAAAATGATTTTAAAATACAACTCTTCTTCTAACTTGTCATTTGTAGTTTGGAAGCCACTCTAAAATCAGTTTGGAGCTTACTCTTCCCAGTTAAGCATGTGCAAGTATTGTGAATTTAAGTGAATGGTGTACAGGTTTCTTTTCTTTTTTTAAAGAGCCCTGGAACTATAGTTGTCATTGTTCATTTAAATCTCCTTTATGAAGTCCAATAATGAAGTCTGCCCAACAATGAGGTCCAGTAGATAATCCTGTGTCCCCTCAGTGCCCTGGCACTTCCATTGGTCCTGATCCAATTAATTTTGAAAGTTAATCAGCTCAACTGCTGCTCCTAAAGAAACACTAAAAAATTAGAACATTTTGCAGGGTTTTCCCTGGAACTGTGGAATTCACAGGCAGGAATTCAGCCCACCTTGTGGCTTTTGTCATATGCCCTTCTTTCTCCAGAGGTCAAAGCACAGGTAGTCCTTGACTTACCACCACAACTGAGCCCAGAATTTCTGTTGTTAAGTGAGACATTTGTTAAGTTTTGCCCCTTTTGACAACCTTTCTTGCCTCAGTTGTTAAGTGAATCACTGCAGTTGCTAAGTTAGTAGCCTGGTTGTTAAGTGAATCTGGCTTCCCCATTGACTTGGCTTGTCAGAAGGTTACAAAAGGTGACTCCAGGACACTGCAACCATCATAAATATGAGTCAGTTGGCAAGTGTCTGAATTTTGATCACATGGCCATGAAGACGCAATGGTCATAAATGTGAAAAATATGG